ATATTTTATATAGATTAGGAGAAATGTGTGAGTATTGGATCAAAGGAAAGGACGACTAAGTAGACGAAAATAAATGATATCTGTTAAACCAGAATTAGCGGAATCGGAGGACTCACACTTCACTGGGTGTTAGACCAGTAGAATTTGAGATATTTCAACAGCAGGAGGTAGGAGGAATAATTGAGTTTATAGTGACAATGATAATAATATTGAATGCCATTGTCAGAGAAGAATTTATCACGGTATGGAGCCACGAACACCGTTTTTTTATGAATACGCGTGTTGCATTTTAATCACTGAGCAGTTATCATCCCAAAAATATGTGGTGAATTCGATGTTGTGTATTTGCTAGATTAGCGTATTTGAGTTTAGTGAGTGAATTTCGTTGTCAAACTCTGCTGGATTATTGGTCATTACATAGTCGAACACTTGTGGACATTTCAACTGACAGATCCTTCAAGTATTTATGCATATACGAGAACAAAGTGGTCTTATGGGTCCTGTATGTGCCGATAAAAGTGCATGTTTACCATTGTATATATTCGGAGCTAACAGGAAACAATTACTTGTTGCCTTTCGACTGTCTCATTATCTAACTCATTCGCTCTGAATCCGCTTACCTTGTAGGTGAATAGGTGGTAATTTTCAGTATTTAATCCCGGCAGCATTGTGGTCTTTCTACTCGGGATTTCCGAGAACAGATCGATTCCTAACCGTATCGGCAGGGTACTGATATAATAATCTAGAGCCTGCTACTATTTCGTATCTTGTAGTGACCGATATTTCCTGATCTGAAAGATAAGATCATAAGATAATAAGGTAACCAGCGAAGTGGAGATTAGTCAAGACAAAATGATACTTAAATAACCAAAATTATGTTGATCACAAATAACACATCCTTGACATCAGTCGTTCCTTTTAAAGCACTAAATATCTCCCAGATAGAACCTCATTCGCCCATATGATTTTGCAATGCTTTTATTCGATCGTTGCTTTTGTTTTACTTTCTAGAAGTTCAATCAGTGACACAACTTGAACTTGATTTCTTTAGCTTTTATCAAACAAATGAAGAGGTTTTCCTACTTTAATTAGTGGTAATTAGGTTTTATAAAAGAGAAGGATTTTGCTTTTTATGGAAAAGGCTTTTCCTTTGATATAGGTAGTATACTCCGAGCACTGGGCGACTGATAAATATGTATTTATATAGATTTAAATGTGACTTCAGTGTGTATGAAGCGTCTACACTTGTATTGTCCGTCTGTGTGTGACCATCTACTTGTAGTTCAAATGGTCTTTAGCGAAGAGGGCGAAGTCTACGTGTTAAGTCAACACCTTGATCAATACGAAATACTCACTTTTATCTTTAACTAATTGTTTGTCCTTAACCTGACACAGTTTGAGCAAATCGCTTTCTTACAACAGTAATCTTCACTGTAATAATTCCTGATATTTGTGTATCAATTTATGGTGAGAAGGAAAACTATTGAAAATGAAAGAATAACACCATGGAGAGCTTTCGGATGACAATCAAGTGATACTTCCATCTAGGCGTTTTGACTTGGATGTTTGTTTTGAATTTGAGAATTGATCACACAGCATGCACCATCATATTTCAAAACTGCTTTAAGGAGTAGACAGAGGATAGTAAGAAAGAAACAAAGAAGGGGAAGGAAAGTGTTAAAATTGCCTAGCGTTAAAATATTAAAGTAAAGAAAGAATAAAATAAAATATTTGGTATTCATTGCATACCAGAAAGTGATAAGTATCACTGCAACGTCTTTTATCCCTAGAAATAAAAATTCAAATGAACAACTTGTTTTGGAAATAACCGACACAACTTCATGAGCGGTATATGTGCTTGTGGTCATGTTACAGCTGATCTTGTTAAGCGGGTCGGATATCCTAGTCTGAACATTTCTAGAATTTCACCTCAAACTGTGAGACCTGAAAATGAATCATTTCACTCTATTCAATTACCAGTTGACGCGATTAGCTAGTTAGCTGGCTAGTTGGAATTCGGGTGTTTTGAACTGATTTGACTTTCTGTACTGATTTATTCAATGTGCATTGAAGATAATCTCGTCCTCGAATTAGTGAAATAGTGTCGAAATGGCTGGCAGTCATTGTCATTTGACATGAGTGCTCTTCAACTACTGATATCAGTCAGCTTATGTTTACATATACATACACCTTGAATATTTCTAGTGTTTTAGGGAAAGTATAATAAAATTCCTTTTTTGATTGTGTATCGTCATAATACTTGATTTCATTGCACAGCATAAATATCTAGTGAGTGCACATAATATTGTGACTGCATCCATTGTACTTCTAAATAAGGTATTTCACTTTTCTTTAGTGTCTCCTGAGCACAGAGATTAAAACCGGAGATAAATGTTCAAAGTAAACGAGAATCTGAGAAAAATAACTTTTTATTCTTACAACAGTCGATAACAATTATTTTCTAGATGCACCTCAACCTGTACAAATCTCACCAGCCTTAAAACGAGGAGCTATTTTGTTCATTTGTTTTACATTCACTCTGAATATCTTTGTTTCCCATTGCAAATTGTGTAGACGTATCTGTACTGACTTATGACACGAAAAGTTTTTATCGTAATACTTTTTTATCAAAATGTGGTCGAGTATAATTCAGTTCAATTAATTTTTTATCGTATGGTTCATAATGTAGTTGTCTAAATTTCTGTTTGTAAATGGTTTTAAGTCACAGCTGTTCCCTCAGAAATTCTAAGATTGAGGATTAGATTTGAATTTTATTTTGATTTGTCATTAACTTTTGAAGGTTGATCCACGGATTTTCTATAATAAGTTCCCCTATGCTTCAGTAGGTTTTTCTACATATCCCTGCTTGTGTTAGCATCGTATCTCGATGCGATGGTGGTTTAATAACATGTTCTTTGTTTTGTATGGTTTTTAAATGAAATTTTGCATTCAAAAACCTTTTTCTGGCCCACATATTACCGGTAGCATTTTATTCTTGAACTGAGTTGCATTTGCTGCACTTTTATCAGAAAATCTTGCTTGATACTGATGAAATCTGCGCAATGTGATGGATTATAGGAGGCAGTAAGTTCAAAAGTTAAACGTTTATTATTGAATTTCCATGAAATCATGCTGGTATATATTGGTGTATTTATTGAAACACCCTAATGTCCACCGGATAAAGCGGGTGGCGCAACTTCAAGAAAGGGAAATGACATATAATAATACATTTATTATTATTGCTGGTTTCGTAAAACATCGTCGAATGTAAGTTACATAGTAAAATGATGTCGTGTTTATTCACGGATTTGTCAGTATGTAAATTTATGGTGATATCAGCTTGATATACAAAAAAGAAGAGTAAACAACATTGACTGCCGACTTCATAACTGTACATTGTCTTTTGGTACTCCTAAGAGTACTTCTTTTGTATACTCCACGCCTCTTCTTATCCGTTATATTTTGTTCTGTGTGTCTGTACTGTCTTTTGGTTGAAGTTCTGTTCTATGCATAAAATAACTGTTGTTCAACTAATATGGTTACTAAATAGCAAGATATTTGAGCTTATATTCGTATAAACCCTGGGAAATTTATCTTTTTCGGGAGATTCTGGGGTTACCTGACTACTAAACACATACAAGTTCTGTATTCTACTTCCTGGTAAAACAAACAAAAATATTTCTAGATGCATTCTAAAAGACTTTCTAGGATTAAAAACGACTGAGAACAAAAAATTTTCTTTTCAACAGTTAACTAAATCCAGCTTCTTCAGAAATGTATCACAAATAGACTTTCAGTGAAACGCTAGTTACATAGAAATCACAGAAGTTAACGAATTTCTCATTGGATGGATTTGTTCTCTAAGGTACAGGGAATGCCAGATGTCATTTGTATGAAGACTAATTAAAGTTTTCAAACTTCTTGGGTGATTTATTTAGTAAATCGTGGCTGATTGTAAAATATGGATTAGACGAAAGAACTAGAAGAAATTTCACAATGCCACCATCAACCTAGTACTCAGAGAGTTGTCTCCAAAAATACTCGTAATGCATTCAGAATGAAGCTTACGTCAGCAGATGAAGATGATCCTTTTCAAATGTAAGTAGTGAGGATGCCCACAGATACTACCAGGACTTAGAAATTTGATGTGGAGTTGCTAATATTTGACTTTGACAAGTCTCCATTCTAGTATTTTTGAACAGGGAGTAAAACTTTTGGCTTTCCACCTCAGAATTGATATCTTTAATGGCTATTTTTCAGTCTGTTCATAAGAAATTATCTAAATGTTTAATTTTCTTCAGATGTCATAAGTATCAAGGAAGAGCACAACTCATGTTTTCGGTATTCCTTTCACTCTAGTTTGGGAGTCATCGGCAGTACGCACCCACTGTGGTTCGAACCCAGGACCTTCCGATTATAAAGGAATGTCGCATATAAGCCACTGGGAAACCAATACGATGGGTCATGAATTCTAACATCTTCCAATGCGTGATTTTAGCGCGACCACTAACTAATGTCATCAGTGGGAAATCCATCCTCACTACCTGGTTTTCAATGGTTATGCAGCTGATATCAATCCGTGGTCAATATCGAAAAACAAATCTAATCATTGCAAACCAACTCTTGGAAATGTCTTTCATCGTGGTTGTACCTTGTATGTAAATGAGAGATCAAGCTTAAGCTACTAATAATTTGATTGTCGTCTACCCACGAGATAAAGCAGATGGCGCCACTTCGATAAAGGGATATGTCATATAATCGCCCCCGTATGCCTTGGTAGCTCACTTCATATTTAGTAGAATAAAAAACAGACACATGTTCATGTCATTTTCAATGTCCGTAGAAAAAAATTTTTTATCATAAAAAAGTGTATACACGTACATGTCTGCCAACTCGTTTGTAAACAACCAATCAGGAAGCTAACAAGTTTATTGTTGGTATTTTATTGGCTAGATATTTTCTACTTTACTGTTAAATAGATGGATTCGCTTCTCATGTAGGTTAGCACAAATATGGCTGGCGATTCTGGTTCAGGACGTGTTATACTGATCCCTATTGATGGCAGTGAACACTGCGAACGGGCATTTCGTTGGTATCTGGACAATATGAAACGAGAAACTGACTGCATAAAGTTTGTCCATGTAATCGAACCAGTTTATAATACTCCTGCCATTGGACTGACAATGGAATCTCCTCCAGTACCTGATATGACTCGCGTTATGGAAGAAAGCATTGATGCAGGTAAAAAGCTTGGACAGAAGTACATGCACGAAGCCAAAGCCCATAAACTTACTGCTCAAGCGTTTTTACACGTGGACACTAAGCCTGGAAGTTCTCTTGTGAAAGCTATTTCGGATCACAAAGCAAGTGTTATTCTGATGGGTAATCGTGGTGTCGGGGCTATTCGTCGTACATTCTTGGGAAGTGTCAGTGACTATATTCTTCATCATGCTCACATTCCTGTAATTATTGTCCCACCTCCAGAAAAGCATTAACGTAACTGCTGTCATGGTAATAACTGCTCTATTTCACAGCTAGAAATTGTAAGTCGCTGTTGAATCATTTTATTACAAGAACTATTGTATCTGATTATCCAATATTTGTTTCCGTCAAATTCACAGAATAAAAACCTACTTATCTCTTTGAAGTTTCTCAATTTGTATTTAATACTATAAGTTGGGTTGTTTCACGAGTCTTGTGTACTTGTTTAGTTAACATTGCATCATGAATTGAACAACACCCTTTAGACGTTAGAAATTAAAGAGTCTGAATATGACTCATACTGGAGTAGAATTAGTTGTTTCTGTTTTCACAAGCACCAGTCCATGAAACTTTTGAGTATTGGTTTGGGTCACATGGAAAGATGTAGACTGTCTGACTGGTTTCCTTGGTATGTTAAGAATTAAGTATTAGGACTGTTTGTCATAGCTCAACATCAATGATACTGGCACAGGTGCATGTACTCTTTATGATCTTACAACTCCATTAAATTCTCATTCTCCATGTAATTATTTTTTCTTTTGTACATTTATGCTTATTGTTGTTTCATTGCATTTCTTTTCTTCACCTACATGTGTGCTTTTGTGAATTGCAGTAACTTGAACTGCTGCATTTCCGGGGCAGATTTCATGTTAATACCTCAGTTAGGCTCTTATCCAAAGATTATTTGCTTATAAGAAATGATTATTTCTTCTGATTTAAGATATTTATTTGTCTTAGTTTAGACTGGAATGCATTTGTTTTAAAACAAGTTTACAATTTACTGGTACTCAAATAAAACATCTTTGACTTCTTAGGTTGTTGTTTTTCAAAAAGTTTTAAGTTTTCTGTTAATTTGTGCTAGACGACGAAAGTACTAGAGAAACCGTTGACACTGTCTTCTAGGTACCATCTTAGTTAAACATCCTTAGTTATCATTTCTTCTTTTCAGAACGACTGAGAGAGGAAAAGCCATGTAATTGGTCATGAATGTAAGTTTTTGTACGTCAGGGGATCAGTCTTGTGTATGCTTTAGGGAAACGGTTTAATGAGATCAATTTCTCTCTTTTGTTAAAATGCTTCACAGTTTGAACTTAAATATAGGACAGATTCGGCATCATTTAGTTTATCTATACGAAATTATGCTTGTACATTTCCTCGATCACGCGTTGGAATTAGTATGGCTAAATACCATCCGCTATTTGGTGACATTCATATTAAGCCAAAGCCACGTACTGGTTTTTCTGCACTTTATTTTTTACAGTATATGTGAAAGTTAATCATAGTTCAGGTTTCACTAGATATGTCAGGTAAACTGGAGATGTATTCGTTACTTAGAGTTTACACCTTGTAACTCACGAGTCTTTCCATAGCAGTAGGAATATGTTACAAAATCGTCAGGTGACATGAATATTCCACCTTTTGTCTTATTTATACAGTGATACTATTGCGAATAAGCTGAGTGTGTAGTACAAACGTCATGTGTAAATTTTAGTGAACTTATCATTTTCGTTTCATAAATGTGTAGTCTTCAAAGTACTTTCGTTTATTTACTATTCCAATGGTCTGAATTTCACTGTTGGGATTAAACTAAATGTGAACAGTTGTTTCAGTTAGCATTACTCACTGTTTTGTGGTTTTCTGTGCTGTCACAGTATAGAACTTGCATGATAAAGTGCTACTTTCCATTACGTCGTGTTTAGGCCAGCTTTTCGAATTTTTAAAGTGAGCCACTCATTGACTGCTGTATTTTAACACCCAGTTCAAAGAGGAATTTTACAGTCTTTTTTGGGAATACTGGAAAATTTCCAATGAATAGGGCCTTAACATCTTCAAGTTTATTTTCTTTGTTTTTTATTATTTTTTTTTTATTAATCTTTGCATTATTTTTATTCTTGTCTACATTGCTAAGTAACTCTTTGATTTGCCTATTCATTTGTTAAACAATCACCAGATGTTTAATTTAAGTTGACATGAGCATATTCGGATTTACTGGGATAGAGGTCTGAATCAATTACAGGAGTGAAAGTCTGTTCCCTTTGTATCCCTGTATGAATTTTACAATGAATACTACGATGCTGCTTTTTAATTCATTTCATTTTCAGTGTACTGACTTTTTCTGATATTTTGTGTCTGTCGAACATATTACAATACTGTAGTATAAGAGCGATTTAGTCAAAGGTATTAGACAGTAGGCTTAATACTGAAAAAGACTGGATTATAAATTGCTTAGAAAAAAGATTTTAATTACAAAATATATTGAAGTAGAGGAAATAAACTGCTCGTGGTTTTCAACAAATATCCATAAAGTTTCATCGAATAAATTGTGTGATTGCTGATTTCAATTATTTGCATACAGCTATATTTAGCCTTTTAGCTTTTACATAATGAATCGATTGCACTATTGTTAGTGATTGAAGGACCTGAGAAAGTTGTCGTTTCAGGCAAGTAATTAACATCAATATAACATTTGTTTAAACTATTGATTACTGATATTATTAGTCAGTCGTCAAAACATCAGACAACAAGTAAATTGAGTGCATAAAACAGCCTAAAAACAATTTTTCATTCGGAAATTATTGTTGTTTACTGAAACTAATAATGTTAAAGAAGACATAAAAATGTGTGAGTTATAGAGACCAATGTCAGATTGCAATTGTTAAAACTGTGTCCACAATTGCCCAATTGCCCATTTCCTCCTTGTTACTTGTCGTCTCCCCGTCAGGTTTAACTGTATGCAGTAGTTGGTGTGCGTTGTTAATCAACTGTCTTCTCAGCGTGTATCCTATCCATCTCCATTTCTTTCGGCATATTTGTTAGGCAAAATGTTCGTGGCTGTTGTTATTCCTACCTGGTCATCTGATCTTCATTAAGAAGCCAACGATGGCAGCTGTTGATAAAAGTATTCAACAGCATGTCAGAGTGCTTTTCGTAACGCGCCATTGAAGTCTTCTCACCATATAGAAGAACTGGTTTCATATTAGTGTGTGAAACCCGAATCCTGTTCCTTTCGCATAGCGTAGAGTATTTCCATACTGATATCAGATTAATTTCCAAATTCCTATTTATAAAAAAACAGCTCCTTCTAATCAGCTCTACACTAACATATCGTTTCTTACATGAAAACTTTTACTAATCAAGTGGTTACTTTAGTTAATCATTTTTAGGTATAGGTGGGGTGAAATTAAGAGGTTAAAAGTCATCAAAACAATTAACTAATAGATGTTAGTAACAAGATATCTAAGTTTTGAAAAAGGGGTGGGAATTAACTACCGAATTCAAGATAAGTTAGTGCGTAGGCGCTAGCACGAATTTATTACATAATCAAGAAATTTGTTAAATAGCAGTGATGACTGAGAAGAATTAGATGACTCAGAAAAATTACGTATAATACACATAATTTAACAGAATTAGCTAAAATCGTAAATATAAATAAATAGATAGATACAAGGAGAGCGGATAAAATTATTTTGAAAACTTAATACATATTATATAGTTGGCCATGGCAAAGAAAGTGGCTGAACAAACAGATTTGACTTGTTCAGATGAATTCCGACTGCCTCTGCTGCATGCACAAGTCGCACTCGTAGACCATACGAGAGGTTGAGTGAAATACGATAAATAACATTAAAAGCTTTGTTGGAATCGACTTGATGTCCAGTCAGTATCGACGAGATGAGCTAGTATTGAGCTGTGTGTAGCTTTATTGTGACTTTTGCCAAAACAAGATTGCAGGTGTTCAGAAATTCGACGATGAACTTATCTCATCTTACACTGAATGTAACTAGCTCCGCACAAGCAGTTAGACTGGTAAATACACATGGAAGAGGCAAAACAAGACAGTTTGTCTTTATTTTCTGAACTAAGTATTGGTTGGCTAGTGAGCATACAGTATAGATTTCAAGGTGTGTTGTTCACAAAATGGAAATTTTCTCCATAAAAGCAGATAATGAATTACAACTGATCCCCTACCGACACACACTCGATATCTATGGTCGGCCTGTAAAATTTGGGCTACCGATATCACATGCTGAAAATTCCATACTTGTACAGCTTGTATGGCAACAAGCCGTAATCAAAAAAATAGGATAAAAATGAAATAAAAATAAAATAAGACAGCCTGATGCGTATATCAGGTAGTTCGTGATTCTGTATGTCATGTAGTCGCTCACTGTTCTGATGTACGTATCTGGGCTTGTTCAGTCGTAGAAGGTAACAATCGTTTTTGTTCAATTTACGAATAATCATGAGAGGAGAGTGAGCGATTCCATGGTGTGTTGCACTTTCTCTGCATTCTGTCTCGGGTGTTAAACATTTAGATATAGACAATAGCGCCAAATATTTGTTCTGTGAATTAAGCAGTGAGCAGTGAATATATATTCATCGCATTATGTATCGTCACGGAGCAATGAAATATGCAATCACTGGCTGTTTCAGCCTATTAAACATGTAGATACATTGTTGAAAAAAAATCCTACTGGTACAGCAGAATTCAATGAGAAAGTGTGTATCAATTGGTGAAGTGAATTCCTCTTGTTTATTGATAAATAATGACCACCACGTTGGTTTCATTGCGTGACTACATGCACATCGTTAGGCGTATTTCCGTTCATAATATAGCCACACATCAGCTATCATCCAGTTGACATATTTAATGATCATGCATATCTGTAATGTGAAAGATTGACACCAGTTGTGTTGATATTAGTAAACAGAATTATCTTTTATGAACTGACTATACTTATAAATTCTGAGCGACTATACTTCACGCCTTATATAAACAAGTGTTAACATAATGTTGACGATAGTGATGGTAGTCGTTGTAATGATAACTATCGTGAATATCTCCTGTTCATTTTACACTAATTCTATGACATTTTGTGCGGGAACATCATGTAAACACTGTCTGTCTATTGGATATACAATAATTGTGTAAACAATTTATGTAGAATTGGAATACATGGCGATTTGAATGAGATTCTGAGAGGTTTGTTTACACTGTGTACTTGTGACTATA